GGGGGGGGGGGGGGGGGGATTGGACCCCCTCCTGCGGTTCCTGCCTGAGATACTTTTATCGCGAGAAGGGTACATCAATCCCTTCCTCCATCGCGACTTATGAAGCCGATCAAGTTTACTAACAACGAGCTTTCTTTGCAGCGCGTCGCTTCCAACGGAGACCAGGATTAAATTAGCGAGAAAAACTCACTCTTGTCTGTTTTTCTTTGGCTTCACTTCAAATCATCAGCGCTCACAGCACTAGTGCCGTTTACTCCAACCCGTGGTCACACAGAAGAGTCCCTCTCTACCCTCCCCTCCTGCGGTACTTTGCCTTCGATTGTTAGTGCGAGAAAGGTTCAGCACTCTCTTCGCTCTGTGTACACACGAGCTAGCGCTATCCACTACGCCAGGAGGGGAAGCGAGAGAACTCACTTTTCAAGAAATGCTCGCTTACGCCGGGATTCGAACCCCACACCTGACCTCCAGAAGGGCTCGAGGTTACCAACTAGACCACCGGGGTTGGCACTCTGTCGGGCCTCAAACCCATGACGTGGCCCTTAGCAGACTGCGAGTCTACCCACTAGACTAGATCACCGGGGCGAGTGTGTAATTCCGCTTTTTCTCCGAACGAGCTTATTATATTTTGGTCCAGCGGAAGTACTTTGGTAAATTGTGTTCGAGATGCGTTCTTAGATATGCATGTACGGTCATCGTGGCTGATGGCGAAACAATCGTTAGGTACGCGGGCCTGTCTGTGGTGTCTGTATTTTGGTTTGCCGTCATTAGCACGGAGCAAGCGCTACGATTCTCAAACAACTTCAGAATGAAATATGAGGGACACATGGCCTTTGCGCGGAAGGAACGCTTGAAGGATTGCTCCAAACTTCTGTTCACCGTTGACACTTTCCAGGTGAAAAATGGAATGTTTTGACCCTGCCTGGTCGGTCAGCCTGGCAGGAGATATTCGATGACAAAAATCTACACACTGTCGACACGCCTGGAAGATAGCCAAGGACAAGGACAAGAAAGAAGCACCTCCCAGGGGACGTTGGAGGGACCCCCTCCTTCATGATGATGACAAAAACAGAGTGTGCAGTACATTGCAAAGGGGCCGCGCCCCTTTCTCCCTCACTCCACCGTCTCTTGCCCCACTGCAACAGCAACATTCCAACCAGGGAGGAGGAGGACGAGGCGGAAACCCTGTGTCACCGTAACGATCTCAGAACATGCACACAACCCAGCCGTGCCTTCCCCGCCTGCAGTACTACCTCTTACTGCTACCCAGGTGCCCTGCATCACGTTGAGCCGTTGATCCAGAATGTACCGTCTACCGTCGTGGTAGTGAAGTCACACGTGTCCGGTGCGAACGCAGTCCGTCAAGACATCAATCACCTCAGCCAGTACCTGCTACCGTTACACAAGAGAGACAATCCTAAAATACACTCTCAAGAACTTTGCCCCCCCGAGGCTATATATAACATAAAGCATAAATCATACAAATACTTTAACCCGTCCCCTAGGTTCAATGTAAGGGATGGAATAACGGCCCTGCATGCAAAAAAATGCAGAATGAGGGTAGAAAACACACTCAAAAACGCAGAGAGATCAAACACAACAGCAAGCATAGATAGGTACTCCGGCATATGAACACACACAAATTGTATACCGCCCTTCGTCTGCGACCTTCCAGTGACGCATGCCGAAGCAGACTGAGGCTCGTTTACATCTCACTCTTGATGCAAGGACGCAAAACTCTCATCATCCGACGCCGCTGAAAAGATCATAAACGCATTGCGTGCGTTTACCCAGCCCATCTGAAACCTCGTCCTACATCGCGGAAGCGGCCCGAATCGCAGTTACCTGCAGCAGCCTTCCTGACGCACGTTGCTCAACTCTGACACGAACACACGCATCTTCTACGCCCGACAACGGGAGGTCGGTTCATCCAAACGCGCTACTACTTACTTCAATTTTTGAGATGAAAGTTAGGATCCCAACGTGCACGTGGTATTCCCAACACCCGAAACTAGTTGCTTGCTGCGATTTACTTCCCGAGTCAGCATTCATCGCCTAACGACTTTTTTCGTGAGGGGTTGCACATCTGACGTGATTGCCAACAGCTCGCTGTCTCCATGCATCGATGCTGCGACCATTATCGTTCGGCCAACCAAGCGTACAGCAGCCCCGTCAGCCACAAAAAAAAAACAGTTCAACATCTATTGTCACGCTTCATAAGAGTTTACCCATGTAGAAGTACATACATAACGAGATAAATGAAAATTATTTTCGCAGTGTGGGTTGAGCCTGCACACCTCAAATCCCTGACAGACAAAATCCACTCGAGACAATGATCAACCTCAAACCACATCTCGCATTCACTTTCATTTTTGATGCTGCTACTGGGTTGGGCAAAACAGAAATACAACATTTCTAAATTACTTCTTTCATCTTGTCGCTGTAGGCGACTTATTATTGGTGTCGTCATGGGGTATCATCGATACGGCCAGCACGCTCTCTCCGTGCCGGTTGTCGAATATCAAGCAGTCCGTCGCACGCCGTTGTATCCCCCTCCCTCCCCCCCCATACATCGATACGGTCCTTCTTATTCAAATACACATGTACTTTCACACTCATGGAAGCTACGCAAGGTTAGGCATTCAGTTGAACTACGCATGCACATGAATATTCTAGTCCACGTCTAGGCCCCAGCTGCGGCACACGACCTCGGCCTCTTAATTAAAATCCCCGAACCCCCATGACTACACATAAATGCGAACCCCTTGCTATACATTTTACCCAACAGAGGTCCACCCAGTACAAAATATCCCCAAAAAAACATGTCGATTGCAGGCCCGCACAAAAAATGTAACACCTGTTTTTCCCTGGCCAAGCGAGGCGGCAAAGCAAAGGCGAATGAGAAAATTCTAGAACAACAAATAAATACGGCGTTGCATCAAATTTAAGACTCCTTCCAACTCCCCGACCCCCTTTACCCCCACCAAAGCCGCTGCCGGTTAACATCCACTATCCTACCCACCCACGAACCCCAGCTACCCCCGCCATTGTTACCTAACCCAACGCTCCCTCACACACCCGACATGTACGTATCCACTCACGCACCCAATTTGAGCTCAGACACAGATCAAGAGCGCCTTGCAATGATATCGCCGAATGATGTGGCGCATCAGTAGATCGACTTGTCAGGTGTACGAAAACCATTCGGCGCTTTGTGCCCTCTCCCGTCTCGAAATTCTTCCCTGAGCAACGTCGAACCCCTCCAACACAACCGGTAATAGCATATACCCCGTGTGCCTTGTCCCTCCCGTGATCTGAGATGCATCCCACGAGAGAACAGCATGCGCTCATGCCCTACCCGTGTGCTCGACAAGCTGTTTTAGTCTTGCGAACATCACATCTTTACCCCAAACATGCGACTGACACATTGTAAGCGTTATAAATCGTCAGAATGTAGCAGCGATACCAAATACCCCACGAATCACACCCAGTCCCTTTGAAATCCGCCCTGCCCTCCTTTTATACCTCTTCTCACTTGTCACTCACAACAACCTCTGTACGGATTTCCACCAGGGAAGGAAAAAACCTTTGGAGACACGAAAAAAAAAAAAAATGCGAATTCCCTTTTGCCTAGAGCGTGCAACAGCGTTCACGACAAAGAACGAGGAAATATCAATGATGGCCGTTGCGCAACAAGAGTCGTGACTACAACGAACCCAACCACTGTGATGACTCGATCTTGACCGCCCTGTCTGCCACGACTGGAAGCCCGTCAAAATTTTACAATCATAACAGAAAACAACGTTTTAAGCCTGACCGCTGACCGCCGACAGGTACATTTGGACCTCTCCAAAGCTCCCGCCATGAGAGCTCAGCCTCGGCTAGGCTACCCTCGAGAGGGAGCTTCGGAATCTATATTCTCCAAACACCGGTCGGGGTCTGCGTAGTCAGGGGAAAATTGCACGCAGCAACACCGCCTTGAGGACCAAGGGTAGCCTTACAAGCCAACGCCAAACACACATGCTTCCAGGGTCCCGGGCTGTTGGTAGAGAACCTGGTACAGCTATCCCAGCCCAGTGGTCTAGGCCTACAGCTAGGTGTGCTACGCACGCATGCTAGCATTTTCAACCCTGACCTCGTTGCTGTGTGCGTCAACACTCAGCTGTGATTCTGCCCACTATTGTATTAGAACTAAAATCGCGCGCTCGCGCAAAACGTGTCATTCATTAATCTTGTTTACCGGACAAAAAGTAACAACTAATATCATCAAAAAATTACGCCGACTCTTCCAAGACAGGAGTCAATATGCAGCCACGCATCGTTTGCATACATTTCGCCATCCAGAAAGCGAGAGGTTATCCTCGTCCCTGCCCAGACCATGTCCGGCGAATCGTCAACCCCAAGCAAGGCGAATAGAGGCGCGACCTGTTTACACGGAGATCGTGGCGAGCATACCCAGCCGCGCCCAACAGCGTCCAGACGGCTGCTCACTCGGGCCCCTCGCAGCAGGCGGCGCGAAGAGTCCGAACAAAAGCAGCCAACACCCAAGCGGAGCTGTGTTAAAAACCAGGCAACGAGCGCCCCCCCCCTCTCTCAGCAGCAGCAACAACCAACGTCGAGAGCAAGAGAGGGCGAGAGGGAGAGAGAGAGAGAGAGAGGGAAAACTCAAACGTTATCATGTCATGCGTGGGAAAGGGGCCTTCATGTTGTTATTATAGGAAGAGGCGCAGGACCTCTGGTGGTCCAGAGCAGCCCTGATACGCACACGCTCCGGGTAGTGATGGTGGTGGCCCCGAGGCAGCGGCACGTCCCTTCGGTCGGGACACGCCAGGCGCAGCCACACCGACTCCGCTTCGGCCTCCTCGGCGAGCTGCTTCGCGAAGGCAGCAGCAGCTGGTGGCGGTGGCGACGACCGGCGCGGCTGCGGCTGCGGGAACTCCGAGCGCGGGATCGCGGCGTGCGGCGGAATACGTGCCGTCTTGAACGGGACCCTCCTTGCCGGGGGCGAGCAGTGCCGCTGGCAGTGTTGGTGGGCACTGGTGGAGTACATGCACAGAGGAGAAGAATGAATCATGGGGGATTTGTTGGCGTGGCTTAGCTGGAGTACAGAGGAAACAAAAAAACTTGGAACTTTTGAGGCTTAGATAGGTGTAGTAGATCTGCACATATATTACTTTACCAGTTCGTCTGGTAGATGAATGGATGAGAAGATGCAATGACTGCCTCCGAAGGGGTGGACCCGTCTTCGAACAGGGCTGATCGATCACTACTCTACGCCCTACGCCAAGGGGAACAATAGCTAGGGTTAACGGTTTGTCCGAGTCTTGACGGCATTGAACAATAATGTCATACCCTGGACCGCAGTACCGTATCTGACGGCCAACCCGCCGTCGGCAATGGTTCGACCACTGCCAGCTTGGCCGATGAAGTCACCGAAACACAGAAAGGGACAAAATCAAACCGGGGGAGGAGGACTGCCGGACTCACTCGGTAAGGGGAACAGTTTGAGGCATCGCCTTCAGACACGCGCGCACTCGACTCACCAGTCAATGCTGTCGCTGACGGTTCTCGGCGCGACCATCTGGGGAGCAGACCGGCGAGCAACGGCCGCCACGATGTTACCGTTGGCGTCCACCTGCGTGCTCACCACCGGCCTTCGGTGAGACGGGGACGGTCGCGGCAGCGTCGCCTGGAGCGCCCCAGCCGTAGAAGAAGAAGCGCCGCAGTCGGCCATCGAGGCTGAGCTGCTCCTGCTGAGAGTGGGCCGGCCGCCCGACCGAGACGACTTCGGCGGGGAAGAGGGGTAGTCGGCGGGCATCGAAAATGCCGGTGAGCCGGCGCCGCCCGCAGCCAGCGTTGATGCTGGCGAAAATTCTTCATCGTTGAAGCGCGGATGATAACTGCTGGCCGCAGAACCCGGAGTGTTACCCCTGGAGAACGCGACGAGCTGAGAATCTTCGAACGGAAAACCTGGGTCGTTTTACCGCAGCAAAAACAAAAAACATGGGAACCGTAAGCACTTGGAGGTCCAGGACAACGGCGGCGATGGAGGGGCAAGCGGCCGCAGGTGTCTGTCTACCTAGGGCCCCTCTCTGTCTTCAGGCCTTTACCTGCAACTTCCGCGTCCGGGGATGGCGGCGTGGCGGGACCCATCGGCACACCGCGGCTAAGATGGACGAAAGACGCGAGACGGGGGCAGCCTCCGCACGCGATGCGTCGCTCCGCCGCCTGGCGGTGGTCGACGGCAGCCTTTTCGCCGCCGCCGCCGCCGCCGGTAGCAGCCACGGTGCGATTGGCTCTGAACCCGCCGGCCGCAAAAACGCTGCCGCCTCCGCCGCCGTTGGTGGGACTGATGGAGTAGTCGGAGCCGAAGCTGCTGCTGCGGTCTGAGAGGGCTAGGGTGGATTCGCTCGAGGAGGGGGAAGGGGCGGGGAAGACGTCGGCGGCCCCAGACTTGGCGGAGGCGCCGCTGGGATGAGCCTTGTCCGTTTCGATATCGGTTAGCACCGAGACGAACGAGTACCACATGTTGTACACGGCCCTGTGTATTTGTGTGTGTGTAACGGGCAGGAGAAGAAAGAGAAAAGAGCGTGAGGAGGAGAGGGCGATGGGTGAGTTGCTTGATGTGACCGTTCGCGCCGTCTTGCACTCCCTCGACAGAGGTTTACCTACAGCAGTTGAAAAACACTCCTTGGCACCACAATCTCACGGCTTTCCGACAGACACCTCCCCCCCGGCCATGCAGTCCGCCACCTCAGTGGCCGTGTCCTTCCAACCTACGATAAGTCCACCTGTCGATGAAAATTCCTGAAACTAGAACCAGGCACAGGACTTGGCCTTGCGGAGAGGACAGTGGTGCCGTGTGTCTTGGGCTGGCTTATTCACGTGGCATGGTGCCCATAACCATCCCGCACACACCACCATCAAACTTCCTACAGGGGCAGACAAAGACGGCCTCCAACAGACAGCCCTTACCTGTCCGCACGGTCTTTGGCCGCGCACATGGCGGGGTCGAGGTCGTACAACGAAGAGTCTCTCGGAAGCTGACGAGGGATCATCGATATTGGCGGAACACGGAAAAAACAGAGCCAGTCAAAAAGGGGCGAGGTCTCCTGGCCCGCTCGATGCCTGCTGTGCTGTACGGAAACAATGTAAGTGTCGAGCCTCTAGCTATGAATGCTGCTGTGTAAGGTCGGCCAATGCGCTCTCGCAAGGTCTGAAACACGGAAGAAGCTCTTGCCTGCCAGGTCTACAAGGCCTGCCACACACAGCAAAGTGCACTTGGATGGCGGGAACCGTAAAAAAAACAACCTGCTCCACTACCATCCCCTCCTCTTTCTCACCAGGCTGTCGGGATCTCGTGGCAGATCCGGGAAGAAGAAGGCCGAGTCGCTCGAGTGGTACGCGGAGGACATGTGAGAGCCGGCGTACAGCCACGCCTCCTGCCGCCCTTGGACGCGAGGGTCGTGGATAAACACGCAACTGCGGGAGGGGACGGGGGCGGCGAAACACACGCGGGCGCCAAGCAAACCAACGGAACAAGAGAGAGAAAGGCTTGTCAGTCATCATGCGGTTCTGAGAATGCCGCGTGTACAAACAGACGGTGAACGAGCAAAAAGGCGCTGAGTACACCGCGACGTCTTGATCAAACAGTGAACCTTGTTGGAGGAAAGGCACCAAGAGCTGCATGCGTGCGCAGCTGCAAAAAACGCTTCGTAAGGACGTTGTGCGGTGCATGGATGCGTGTGGATTATGTCGACATGCGCGCGAGCCCTTCTTTCAGAAATATTGAGTTAAGCGTCCCGCCACACCCCCGCCGACCTCTATTAATAGGAACCAAGGACTCGTGTATGTGCATGTGCTCTTCTTCGGTGTCCTATTTTTCTTTCTACGGGAATGACAACCCGTACAGCCTCCACGAGCGTCCCGTCACCATCTCCTAAGAACCGGCGACGGCCAACCAACCCTTACCGTGAAGAGTACGGGCAGCTCCCCGTAGCGACCCAGGTCATGCACGGGATGCAGCGGTACTTGACTGCGTCGGGAATGCGCCCAGCGTTCTGCCTGGAAACGTGTGCATGTGCCAACAACAAAATGCAACGACGAGTGTTAGCGTATCCTGGAAGAACAAAGCAGCGCGTTGTGAAACACACAAAAAGGGGCGGTGTGCCGATGGTTGCACGGCACGGGTCGTCGGGAACAGGAGTGCCAATGAAACACTTGACGAAGAAACTCCGATAAACTCGGAAAGAGCCAACGTTCCGGAAAGTGAAACAAACGCCAGTCCCGTGTGTGGGTGCCCGCTCGCGCAGGGTGAACGAGCAACCGCTCGCGTGAAATTTCATATGCCAGGACCGCGGTATAGGTGAACAAGTTGTCGACCGGGGGGGGGGGGGGGNGGGGGGGGGGGGGGGGGGGGGGGGGGGGGGGGGGGGGGGGGGAGGAGACCCCTTGATTCGGGTCGTGTTGTTGTTCAACGTTCAAACGGCGTCGGGTCCCACGAACGTATGCATTGCATTCATCGAACAATATACTTCTAAGATGTCTCAGCCAGAAACCGCAGGAGGGGGTCCGACCCCCCCATCCTATGTGACCCCGGTTGGGTCGTCTACCTGGTAGAAGTCGAGGATAGGGGCCAGAGGGGCAGACGACAGAGTCCAATGATGGGAGCAAAACAAACAACAAACAATACCTCTAAATCGCTTGCTGCCTTCGTGCGGGCATTTTCGGCGAGTTGTTGAACAATCAACCTACTTCAACAAGAGGTTCTTGTCCGTGCGCATGTATTCTCCGCGACTTGACATATTGCCCCGACCCAAATGTCATCGTCGCTGCAACAAACTTAGCAACGAGCGGGACGGACTCAGTGCGCGAAGCAACATCGATAGCGAAGGCACTGATTGTCCGCGAAGCACATAAAGGGTCTATTTCACCAAAATGCGGCGAGTTTTTGGCCATGAACCAACGTCGGACCAGAAGGTGCAAATTCAGGTCACCTAAAGCTACAAGTTTAAACTTCAATGTGGCTTACATTTCCCTGAGAGTGCGGTACTTGAGCTCTTCCCTGCCGTGGGCGAAAGCACACCTATCTGTTCCGACGCCCCGCCCACAACCGTTGATGATGCGACACGCATGAGTTGGAGAGAGAAAGAGGGGAGGGGCACCGGAGAAAGGCGGGTGGTGTTGAGCAAGCTTCAGCGCAAGCTTCGCAACACGCAACACTTATGCATACATAGCCAAGCGTCAAGGTCAAGGCATGCAGGCATGTTGTCAGACTCGTGGGCTACCCTCTGCTCGTCCCTTTCACCCTTTTCACTTGCGGTGGTGGTGGTCTTAAGAGTATTGCCTTAAAACATTACGTCCAGCTGCAGCCCGCACTCTGTTGCATGTGGCGGGAACGAGCATCACCGTCCGTTGTGGGGCGGACGCGAGTCCGGCACACGTCGGAGAATAAAGAAAAGTGCAAAAATGTCGCACATGCGACAAAGCAGCAGCAGAACAACGATCGCCCCTGCTGAGCGTTCAGGCCGGAAGCAGTTTCGTCCGCAGACCGAGGGTGCTGCACAGATGTCATCAGAAAAAATAACGACGAAGAAGAGCATTCTGGCGGGAGGGCAATCACTGCCAGCTGAGGCGGCCTAAGAGGAAGAGCCGTCCCAGCTGGTGGCTCTACTGATAGTTTTAGCAGGCATTCTCCGCCACTCAGTGCGGAGGCTTCTGACACATGCATTCCACCGGTGCTGCTGCTGTGTCATTATCTGAAACGGGGAATCTTTCGGTGATTGTTGCACGATGAGTTCATCTAAAAAGAAAGTATGAAACATCCGACGTGCTCAGGACATTCTGCTCCATACTTCTCGAAGCTGACTACCGCCACAGCAGTTGATTGAACAGACCCCTCCGACCACGGGCCAGGGTTGATTGGACGGGAGCTTCTCATGCCCCTGTAATGTAGCGCCCCTTGGGGCGATCGATTCTTGGCGCCAAAACGACCAAGTAAAGAAAAATGCGTACCGCCAATTTTCAAACAAGACGAAAAAAAAAGCAAACGAAAATGTGTCCGTGTGTGTGGCGGGGGTGAACAAAGCAGCAAGCCGCGTACGTGGCAGCCTGCTCTGCTGCAACAAGTAGAGGGTAATGAATTCTGGCGTGAATGAAAACGAAAACGAGAGTGGCGGGCGCGGCTCGCGTATTCCATGGGTCTACTTTGTCAAGTCCTACTTCGCTCTTGAGGCATCCGGGGAACCAACATACTACAACGGTACCGACAATTGATGCATACTTAGGAACACGGGGCGGGCGTATTCGTGTGGTGTGCCACGTAGGGTTGTTGTTACTGTTCTGGGTGGAGGAAAATATTGGAGAGGAAGGTAACGGTATTGGTTGTCGTGATCGCGGGGGCCGTTGTGGTTGGCGCTTGCTTACTTGGCAGAGAGGCTCTCGCCCTCCAACTATTATTTGACCACATGGTCTACATTGTTTGATCGCCATCCGGTTTTAGGCGAGGCCGTAAGAAAGGGTAACACCGGATGGCAGAAAGGGATGGTCAGACGAAAAGTACGTGCGTCCCTTCGCGCAATTGTACACACGAAACGGCGCGGGAGATTCGGGCTCGTCTACTTTCCAGCGGTTTTCGCCCAATTGGTGAACATTAGCGCCCCAACCGAGAACGTCTCGTGGACTTGGCGCGTCTGTCTAAAAGTTAATATCAGTGTAGAAACGCCACAAAAATCAACCCAAATCAACCCTGAATGTTTTGCTCTGGCATCTAACATGCGGAATGCATACCTCGTTTCTTTAAAGGTTGAATGTATAGGTCCATGAAGACGGAGAAACGAGGGGTGAAAAAAACGGCGACAAGATCGTTTTTGTACTATTTAGAGCATAATTCAACATAGAGCAATTCACATTTTCGTCTTTTTGGTTCGCGTTTCGAGTGAATTCGGCCCGCCCTCATGCGTTGCTGTTGGCTTGTGCCGTACGGTTTCTCCCCATCCGCGCCAACTAACACTCGGCTCGTTTAGAAAGCGCATTGTGGTCAAAGAGCCCACAGACAGGCGTGCGCGGTGGGTGGTGATGCCCTGAAAGTCTTCTGTCTTCTTGATTACGGGGGACCCCAGACGATCCGCAAATCGGCAGTTCCAAGGAAGGGAGAAGCCAGACCATGATGTGCGGGCGTGTGTGTTGTGTTTACAAAGTGCAAATTTGATAGTAGATCTTTAGGGCTAACGCGTTTTGATTGGTCGGGGGTTGTTCGGCGTTGTTTATGGCGGCCGATCCCTCTCCAGCGGCCTCTCCTCGTGAGAGTTTAGGATAGGGCAAGGGTAAATGTGGTGTGAGCAACCTAGCCTTGCTCGCGTAAAGAACCTAGCCTTGCTACGTTTGACATGCTCGCGTAAAGAACCTAGCCTTGCTACGTTTGACATCGGTTACTCCCAAAGAGTTACTATCAAAGTGTGACAAAGGCTCCGTATGCGTGTGTGCATGTGTGCACGAGAAATGCAATACGAAACTACAAGGCACTTTTGCAGTGAACAGGAGGATTTGATTGTGCGTGTGTGTTTGCAGGGCAGCAGATAAAAAAGACATGTCACACACACGTGCCCTCAATCACTCGAACAGGGAGGAGGGGGCATGGGGGGAGTAGGAGCTATTGCTGTTGATTTTTTTTATGAATTTACGCAACAACAATTCAATGACTGACTTGAATCCAGCACAAGTCTCCGACGTCGGCCCTACATAGCAACACTGGTTGCAAAAGCATGATGACAGTGATGATGACGTTGAACTCGCAACAGAAAAGAATGTCGAACTCATTCATGCACAGACCGAACGTTGTGTTTGACGTTATGATTTTTCAGGTACACTCCAAGACGAAGAGAGTCCCTCCAACGTGCAAGCTCATGTATGTCTCTTGTCCGCGGAGGATTGCACGGATTGGGATAGACAGAGCACGGCCTGTATTATCGTGCATTGAGGCGCAGTGCATGTGCTATGAATCTCGCATATTGACCACAGTATTCATGTGCATTGATGTATTACGTGAATAGGACCGTGCGCGCGCACGCCAGACGGAAAAAAAACATGAATGCGTACGTAGACGAGATCGTTTCACGCCACCGTGAACAAATATAGCGCGAGGCTGTTGTTGAACCCACGCATAAGTGTCGCACAAGACACAGCGCCTGCTCGTTGAAGCTAGATGCTGGGCATAAGAGGGCAGCACATCCATGCCTTATTCACGACGCAGAGAGAACCGAGTCGCGTTGCAGCACAGCCAGCGGGAGAAAGAAACGACGAAAGGAAACAAAAAAGGGCAATATACCCCCCGAGGTCGACCAGCACCGACACACGAACGGTTGCTTCCTTTTTCTTTCTCTTCATCTCTCTCTCCGTCTATCTCGGCCGTCTCTGCTCTTTCTGTGAGCGCTCAAGATGAAATAATGACGAGACAGAGCCGGACCTCACCCAGGGCGCGGGGGCTACTACTAGTACTACTGATGTCCGTCGCTTCATCAAACGCGGGGACATCGTGGTCGGTGTCGATGCCGCTGATGGCGTGGGGACTTTAGCTGGATACATTATTAAAACAGCAGGAAAGTAATGCGTCTGTCTGTTTTCACCTACCCCCGTAAGTGCAGAATCCTTTGGTGTGGTTCCGGCATAGCTCCGTCTGTGCCCCAATGAACCGCCACAGCAGCGGGGTTATGTAGGAGCAGCAGCGAGGTGTAGTAGTAGCAGCAGAGGGCAGTTGCGGTGGCCCAATTTACGGAGCAGCAGAGGCAGAAGCAGAGGTAAAACGGTCGTCGAAAGAGAATCATCGTGGGCGGGGATTTTCGTGCATAGACATAGCTAGCACGTAAGCGGCAGCAGTAGCAGCAGCAATGTCATCTCCACAGATGCAAGAGGAAATGCCTCTTTGTTCCAAGACATGGCGCGCTCCGCCACAGCACCTACCTTCAGGTTGGTGTTTATGATCGCCTGTGACCGTCTCCCCTGCTGTTGGTGCCCATGCTGCTGCCTATTCACCCATCCGTCTGCTCTCCCAGGTAGCAACATATCCGCCTGTCGTTCGGTGCTTGGTAGACTACTGAATCGTGGTGTGTGTGACACAGGTGGTGGCGTGCGAGAACATATGCAACCAGTGAAACAGGTGCGATCATGGTGGTCCGCGATACGGCACCCCATCTTCTTCTTAAACATTTTTTAATGTGCTAAATATGACACAACGAATCCATCTCTATCCATTTTCGTCACTTTAACTCGTATGAAAAAAAAAAATGTTGCTCCCCTCGGGAGTAAATGAAAAAGGCAAGTGAAGGCAACGAGTGTGTGGGTTGTGTGAGCGCAAGAGCGGAACAAAAAAAAAAGAAGCCGCTTCGTTCGTCTCCACCTCCCACTCCCTCACAAACAGACAGACCACGATCGCCTTCATATCCATCGCGCGACTCCTATCGACAGCAACGTAGACTATCATTTTTGCGTGTGGTCTCGAGGGAAGCGAAGCACTGCTGCATGCTGCTGCTCCTATGCTGCTGAAAACTATATTTATTTCCCGCACGACTTTATTCTACTCTTTGCCAGATTCTGGCGGACCCTATCTATCTCTCCAGTGCACACTGCATACCTCCAGACCTCTTTCTTCTGTGGGATCCTGCCTCAGACAACACCCGAGCGCACAGCGGCTGCATTTGCAGCGTCCACAAAAATGGTGGTGGTGGATAGTTCACTTCAATGTTTCCCTTTATTGGGGCACAAATGGTACCACAGCAGCCTTGCAGAAGCACAGCAAGCAGCAGCCAGCCGTCTTTTTTTTCTGGATGAATAGTCTAGTCTACATATATAGACTACAGCATGGAGATGCATACATTACACAAACAAGGGCCCACGAAAGTACCCCGGTTGAATAGTGCCGACGCCCGGTAGAGTGCCGGTGTTTTGGGTGGGCCCACAGACAGGCTCATCATCAAATCATTCGGTACATTGAATAGTGCCGGCCCCTCTGAGTAGTGCCGGTAATTAAGGTGGTGGTCTGGTCCAACCGACAGGCACTGCATACATACGAGGCCGGCTCTTTTCGTACTTCAATATATATCACGAGTGGGTGCTGCTGCTGACGACACGCAAAACTACTACATGCATGCCTATATAAGATAGGATAGCTGTCGCTACAACGAGCGACAGCTGATAGATGTAACTGTCGTCAGACGTGTGCGTCCGCGGGAGGTGGAAGAAATTGTTTTTTTTTGCAATTGACTTCATTGGTTACCCGCGACGGCGCCGAAGACGCCCATGTCCGTGTACCTGACCCTCGTAGTCCGTGCTAACTCCCCAAGCCTAACCTCTTCCTGCAGCCTACCCTTCATCGTCGATGAGTTTCCAAGGTTACCTATCCTGTCGAAACTCATGGGCTCTACGATGAGGTCCACAAGTCTCTTCGCCCTACTGAGACAGACGAAAGTAAGCCCCGTACAGGCCTCCTTGGGCCCCAAGTCTATGACGGCCTTGGCTAAAGTCTGCCCCTGTGACTTGTGCATCGTGATTGCCCAGCAGAGCCTAAGGGGCAGCTGCGTCCGGACCTGCGTCCCCCCGTCCTGCCACATGGTGTCGACGGGAGAAATGGGGACACAACCTCTATACCTCTCCTGAGACGACCAGTCCCCCCCCGAGTACCCTTCGAAGTTGACGACAACGTATAGGGGGAGCTTCGGCGGGGGCGCATTTTCAGCATACACCAACTCGACGACTTCCCCTCTAATGCCGTTCACCAGCCCAACTTGACTCTTCTTGTCCTTCTTGCACCGCGGACAACTGTACCAACAAGCGGGTGTGGGGGCGGCAGGCGGTGGGGTATA